GTCACTCAAATAGTGGAAACATATAAGCAGCTCTGCTGATATGGGCATAGGATTTTATAGTGTAGTGCCCACTTGTAAGTATAGATGATGGTCTTTTCCCTCCAGAAATGTAAGAGAAAAAGGAAAAAAGAAAAACCAAAATAGTGTGTACCGTAAGGCACAGAATACAATTAAAATGGTAAGATATTTACTCACAATCTATGGAGCAGATGTGGTCTGCTCTATCCCTCGGGCTTGAGCGGTACAATCCCCACCACGGATACAGTAGTTCAAGCAGAATAGCAGCAAAGGTTGGTCCAATAAAAAAGTACTTTTATTTAAAGGTAATTAATATAAAAATATAAAACAAGAAAAAATACACTGAAAGTGAGGTAGATAATAATAAATACACTTAACGCAGTTCACCTGGCAAGAGGCTTTCCTTAAAAGTGTTATACAGACATGGGGAACCTAAGCTGCCTAAATGGAGGGGGGAGGTTAAAAATACTGTTTTTGTGACATCACAGGTTACATGACTGAAAATAATTAACATAATCCATCATACAAAAATATTAAAAGACGAATGGTTTTACATGTGAATGCTGATCTATGTCTTAGAGAACAGCACAAGAAAACATTCTGTTCATTCCGTAAATGTGGCTGTACCATTAGAAATTTACTCTGCTTACCTAATTGCAAGACAATAGTTCTCTTACACTTTTAATCTCTGGTGTTTGAGGAGAGGTTTGTAAATTAATATGTTTTTCCATGTTATCACTAACCCTCCAGTATGTTACTATTTCTACAGGTTCACAAATAACCCAGAGAGACAGAGCCATTCTGAAGAAAGAGATGGTGAAGCGGTCCAAACGGTGAGTTCATCTCATTAGCTGATATGATGCAGACCATAACCTCAGACAGGCCTAAGCAGCCAATGGCACGAGGAAAGGGCTTTCATGCTGCTAGCTAAACCATTTAATGCTTCTTCCTGGGGCAGGTTTAAATGGATAGTTAAGCAAAAAAGAGAAAAGGGCAAAATGTTCACTTGTCAGTGGCTATTGTTGAGCCCACCTCTCTAACTAACTTTTAGGGTACTCAGACACCTCTTTCACAAAATAATGTTCTGGGTTGCCTAATATCAATTCTGTCCTCCCACACTGATCGTACCCCTCCCAGCCTTCTATTCCCTCTGCTATATTTATTTTCCCACTCCGCCTTACCTCCTCCTCTTTCTCCTAACCTTGCGGACTCTGAGTGTGCAGACGTGCACTGAGCCCCTCAAATCACAGATTTTAATTGGAATAAATGTTAAATAAATGTTTACTAACCCTCGTTCTTAGGATATATGAGCAGCTTCCAGAAGTCAGGAAGAAAAAGGAGGATGAGAAGAGGAAGTCGGAATATGAGACCTATCGCTTGAAGGCACAGATCTTTAGAAAGGTTTGTTTTTAGAATTACCTTAAACACAACATTTACATTGATTGTCTGCTTCCAATAGAGATATAAATGCTGTAATGGAAATATCTCGTATAGAACATGCTAATAGTTATTTTTAAACCTATATGGAAATACTATGTAAATGTTTTTTGATTTTTTTACTTTAAGAGAAAGTCGATCAAATGAGTTAGAAGGGAATGTAAAATAAATATTGTATAAATATATTGCTGTACGCTGATTGCGTCTTTTTCAGCCAATCAGGATACTAGAATTCTGATTGCGGTGACTGACCAAAATAAATAGTAAGTTAATAAATAATATATACAAAGAAAAGACACTGATCACTATTTGCTCTGAAGAACAAGAAAAAGTCCTTTGGTAAAAGTGTTCCCTTGGGCCACTCCACCGCGATCTGCTTTTTTGGAAAATCAAAAGGAAAAAAATGTGTATAGATCACCAGAGGTGAATAATAAAGCAATCCAACCTGTATATAAATCGTGGAGTACACTAGATGCTGGCAAAATCAGGCATGTCTCCCTCAATATGGAAAACGAAAACGTTTGGGATACGGCTGTATAAATCAACTCACAAGATGAAGGCGTTTTATTTTACCATTTGTTCACCTTTTTACAATCAAGCTGCTTATTTTTTATACCTTTACCTACTGGGGTCCTGTCTCATATCTACCCTATTGGACCAACAAAAGGGATTAATAGACCCCCAATAACATCGGAGGAGGCATATTTGTTTATAATAACTGTATTACACTATATATTGTTTATGTTCCTCATTTAGATTTATACAGCCGTATCCCAAACGTTTTGGTTTTTCATATATGCTGCATTATAAGGTTATTCTCTGGGTAATGATCTTGGGAGGCTGTTCAGTTTAATGTAAAAGATACGTACCTATACACATTGACACTGCGGTGATACATTGTTTATCTGTATGTCTCCCTCTATGATGGAGAAAATCTTCCAAAAAGGTTTCTTCATACAGGTATATCTTCTTAAGTGGCTCAAAATAAGAAAGTTAAAAGATAGTGCAGATTGTATAAAAGTAACAAATTTCTGAATACAATTTATATGCAGGTTGTACTGCTTTATTATTCACCACTGGTGATCTATACACATTTTTTTCCATATGGTTTAATAAATAATATATAGCAGCCCCCTATCTGTAACAGGATGCAAATTTACGAGTGACAGTAAAAATAGGCAATACGTGTTTCAGCTTCAGGAAGTATATTCCTGGCAAGCATTACTATCTCCGTAGGAACTTGTATGTTTGGAAATAATTCCAAAAGCTCAAAGTAAAATGTATTTCACCAATGAAAGATAACACTCCACTAAATAAAATAATGATTAAACATCCGCTTTCGAGAGAGAGAGAGAGAGAGAGAGAGAGAGAGAGTGTGTGTGTGTGTTTGTTTTCGCGCCCCAAAGTGGTTTTCATTGGAGACTGCACATTTCTTCCTTAGAGTTACAATTATCCCCCTTTAAACCCTTATTGACTGTTGGCGGACCAGGTCCGTCATGCAGGGGAAGTACTTAATGATGGACCCGGTCAGTCATGTGCTAAAATTAACCCCAGATTGCGTTAATCACAAGGTTAATGCTCCTCCGGTCTGCCTTGGTATGACAGGCTGTCAGAGAGAGCACATGTGTCTGCCTCCCTGCGCTTCCGCTTTCACTGTGACATGCAGGGAGACAGAACAGTGCTGATCTTCTCCCTACAAAAAAAACAACCAAAAGTTAATGCTAAATCCCACCCTCTTTCCCCTCCTTTAATAAAATGAACCCCTTCACTGCCATTTGATCACTAACTACAGTATTTTACTATGATCTGATTTATTATTTTTTTTTTTAACCCTCAGGGGGTTAGTTATTTTATTAATTAATCTAAATATTTTAAAATTATATATTTAGCTAGCTGGGGTTAGTGGGGAATTTGGTATTAGGCTAGCTTGGGGTTAATGTTTAAAAAAAAAAAAAGCTTTCAAAAGCTAAAAATAAAAGTTTTAATAACATTTTTTTTTTAAAGTTTTACAAAATCCCCCCACCCCTTTACCCAGTCCAAATAAAAATCAAGCACCTTCCTGCCAGTTGATCACTGCTTACGGTGATCACGGTATATTACTGTGATCTAATTTTTTTATTTATTTTATTTTTTTACCCCTGAAGGTAAACTTTTATTATTTTTTTTTAACCCTCAATTAATTTAAATATTTTAAAATGATATATTTTGCCAGCTGGGGTGGGTGGGAGTTATGTGAATTTTACTGTTAGTGATGCTTACTGCTAGTTAGGGGTTAACAGTTTAAAAAAAAAAAAAAAAAAAGTTATAAAAATTTTAAAAGTGTAAAAAAGTTTGAGAAAGTTTAAAAAAATAAAAATGCTCATTACCACTACACCTGGAACAAACTAGTGCAAAAATGACCCCACGCTAAGGTTCAAATATGCCTTTTGAATTACCCCATGGTGTATAATAAATAGTATGTGTTTGTGGGGAAGTTTGAATAACCAACCAGCTAAGCTACTCCGAAATGAAACATGGACAAATTATTTGGGGGGGATTTTATGACAGTGGCACATATGAAGTGTAAGAAATACTCAGCAAAAATTTAAAAAAAAAATCTTCACCACAAACATTGACATACATTGGTGACAAGTTAAGGGGTTAATGCTTATATACATATTTGCACTGTATGGAAGATGGCTAAACATTGCCACCTTCTGGCAAATTGTGAAAATGCACATTACCTCTCCAAATTGGCAACTGCTATCTCCCACCATTCTAAAAGAGACTGTACACATTATGGCAATCTTGTACTCTATGAATGTATAGATAATCTGTTAACATGACAGAAGCAGAAAAGGTTTATACCCAGAATAGTGGAAGTAATAACTCTAGGCTGCATATAAGGATTAAAGCAAAAAAAAACAAAAAAAAAACGGTATTTTAATGTTTTAGCTCTCTTTCTATTATTTCGCTCTTCAATATAACACAGAAATGTACAGACGTGTTTTGGCTTTCTATGGTAGAGCTGTGTGTTTACCTTAATCCCTGTAATAGCGTCATTAACTGAAATGAATCTGATTGAACCCTGCTCATGCTACTACTCAGAGTGGTAACTGTGATATACACTGGGTAGAAGGAAGTGTAATGGTATCCTAAAAATGATCATGTCGTGTCTTGATAGATTTAGGTACTGCACTTTGCCTTTCGGAATAAATGAAGATTTACTGATATATTTTTAACTTGTTTCTCTTTTCTTTTAGAAAGTCACTAATCACATTTTAGGAAGAAAAACACCATGGAATTAAATTAATGTTAAGATTTTTTTTTTTTTTTCACTTTAAGCAACATATAACCATGTTCCTACCTTGTGATGTGAAGACGATAGCCAATATATAAATGTTGTATGTGATGTGAGTCTAATTATGTGTGGCATTTTATGATTGTCATAGATCTATTTTTTTTAAATTATTTATTATGAGATACTTGTATATTTTGGTTGTAGACAATTTTTTTTCTAGATATAAAATGTGTAAAGTTTTGATATATATATTTTTTTTTTTAACCTGGAATAGTGGAATAAAATGTAATTATTGACTCCTAAACAGGTCTCCATAGTACATTTTGTGTTTAGGTGTGGAAGGTTGCCCTATATCTTGCAATAAATCAACTGCTTTTTATAAATCCATTGAATACTATTCTCAGTCCAATGTTACTGCCTAAACCTCAGTGGTACTTGTCCCAGCCACAGCTAGGAGTGGGAGTACAGAGTAAGAGTTGCACAGTACCTTGTTCTAGCTACCTGCATACTCTGTATGTCTTGTCTTTACTATCATGCCATGAGACTAGAGTGGAACTTTTACTACCTGTCACTTCCCCAGAGACTGACTGGTGGGCCAGAGTAAAGGAAACAGCTTCTTCCATATTGTGCTTTTATTTTCACGTGATGTGAAATTATTAGGTCATGTTTATCAAGACAGAACATGTAAGTGACCAGCTCTGGGCCACGACACACTTTTCCAGTGTATTAAAATGAGGTCTAATGACTGTTTATTGCCTTGTGTATTTGTATAATTGATTTATTTATTTTTTCCCTTTGGTATTGCACTCATTGTCACAAAACATTACTTTTTTTTTCTCCTCTTTGGTAGTAATTTCAGTCTTTGTTGTGTGAACACAGAATAGAAATTGCCCATTAGATTTTGTTTTTTGAATATGTTTTTCCTTAAAAGGACACTATAGTCACCAGAACAACTACAGTTTAATGTTATTGTTCTGGTGAGTTTAATCATTATAGGTACTTCCTGGCTCAGGGCTGCACAGTAGGCAGCTCTGCATGAGGACGCTTAATTTTCCTCATACAGGTGTATTGATTCAATGCATCCCTATGAGGAGGTGCTGCTTGGACGAAATGGTGTTTAGCCCCACCCCCTTGTCGATTTTAGCCAATCCAATGCTTTCCCAATGGAAAGCATTGGATTGGCTATAAATTGCCAATTCTGATATCACCAAGGGGGCAGGGCCAGCGCTAAAAATAAGGTGAGTTTTATTAACTTTTGTGGGCAAACCACCTATATGGTGTGTTTAGCATTATAGGGTCAGGAATACATGGTTGTGTTCCTGACCCTATAGTGTTCCTTTAAATGAATTACCAGTCAGTATTAATCACCCTCACAATTCATATAAAGACTATACAGAATAACATTGTAAGATTCTACATTGAAGCCATGGCCTGTTGGTCTATGTTAGGCTGCAGTTATAGAGTCATACTTCCACTCAGTTCCTTCTCCAAAGCCTGTACGGCCTGGTGATTCAAAAAGAGCAGCTGTCCTTGAGGCATGAACTTGTCAATGCTCATCTCAATCATGTCTGCTCTCAGTAGTATATTACTGCTGTGTGTCAGCAGCTTCGTGGACTCAACTAGGTATTTCACAAGCATCCTCAGTGTGCTCTCAGCCAGGGTCAGGTTCTCCTGTACGTTGCAGATTAATGAAAAGCCAAATGAAAACACAGCCACCCACAGGACAATCTTCTCGTGTGGAAATGGGTCTCCGGAACCCAGGCTGTAAACTCCCACATCCTCTTCTTGCAATAAGATGGACTCATCGGTTAAATGAACACTATAGTCGCTCGCTGGCTTCCCAGACACCTGTCGCCTCAACAGACACATGGACTCTGTCTGCCTGCGGACAAAGAGCAGGAATTTATACAGTCTAGATCATACCAACAATGTCACACACACATATAATACCTACACACACAGCCCGAGAGGAAAGCTGGCTGAGCCAGTCATATGTAAAGAACCGGGTGGCTAAGAGTAAAAGAGAGCTATGTCAGTTAGGCATTTCTGTGAATGAGAGCCCCCTCTGTACAGGTAGACCTGTAAATAATAGAGGACCCACCACGGTAAAGAATAAAATATATAAATAAGGGGAGTGGTGGGTGGGATGACTTGAGACAGTACATCCCAGGTAAGGGGGGATAGGGTTTATGTAAGTAAAACTCCTCCCACAAATACGACAATTACACAATCAGGGAACGTTATGACATTGTATTCTAAATATATACAGTTGCAAGAAAAAGTATGTGAACCCTTTGGAGTGATATGGATTTCTGCACAAATTGGTCATAAAATGTGATCTGATCATCATCTAAGTCACAACAATAGACAATCACAGTCTGCTTAAACTAAACACACAAAGAATGAAACGTTGCTGTGTTTTTATTGAACACACCATGTAAACATTCACAGTGCAGGTGGAAAAAGTATGTGAACCCTTGGATTTAATAACTGGTTGAACCTCCTTTGACAGCAATAACTTCAACCAAATGTTTCCTGTAGTTGCAGATCAGACGTGCACAACAGTTAGGAGTAATTCTTGACCATTCCTCTTTACAGAACTGTTTCAGTTCAGCAATATTCTTGGGATGTCTGGTGTGAATCGCTTTCTTGATGTCATGCCACAGCATCTCAATCGGGTTGAGGTCAGGACTCTGACTGGGCCACTTCAGAAGGCTTATTTCCTTCTGTTTAAGCCATTCTATTGATTTACTTCTATGCTTTGGGTCATTGTCCTGTTGCAACACCCATCTTCTGTTGAGCTTCAGCTGGTAGACAGATGGACTTAAGTTCTCTTGCAAAATGTCTTGATAAACTTGGGAATTCATTTTTCCTTCGATGATAGCAATCCTTCCAGGCCCTAACGCAGCAAAGCAGCCCCAAACCATGATGCCCCCACCACCATACTTCACAGTTGGGATGAGGTTTTGATGTTGGTGTCCTGTGCCTTTTTTTTTCGCCACACATAATGTTGTGTGTTTCTTCCAAACAACTCATCTTTGGTTTCATCTGTCCACAGAATATTTTGCCAGTACTGCTGTGGAACATCCAGGTGCTTTTGTGCAAACTGTAAACATGCAGCAATGTTTTGTTTGGACAGCAGTGGCTTCCTCTGTGGTATCCTCCCATGAAATCCATTCTTGTTTAGTGTTTTACGTATTGTAGATTCGCTAACAGGGATGTTAGCATTTGCCAGTGACTACTGTAAGTCTTTAGCTGACACTCTAGGATTCTTCTTAACCTCATTGAGCAGTCTGCGCTGTGCTCTTGCAGTCATCTTTACAGGACGGCCACTCCTAAGGAGAGTAGCAGCAGTGCTGGACTGAAGAAGAGCAAGGTTTTTGGAGATACTTTTATAACCCTTTCCAGCTTTATGCAAGTCAACAATTCTTAATGGTAGGTCTTCTGAGCGCTCTTTTGTGCGAGGCATCAGTCAATGCTTCTTGTGAAAAGCAAACCCAGAACTGGTGTGTGTTTTTTATAGGGCAGGGCAGCTGTAACCAACACCTCCAATCTCATCTCATTGACTGGACTCCAGTTGGCTGACATCTCACTCCAATTAGCTCTTGGAGATGTCATTAGTCTAGGGGTTCACATACTTTTCCCACCTGCACTGTGAATGTTTACATGGTGTGTTCAATAAAAACATGGCAACATTTCATTCTTTGTGTGTTATTAGTTTAAGCAGACTGTGATTGTCTATTGTTGTGACTTAGATGATGATCAGATCACATTTTATGACCAATTTGTGCAGAAATCCATATCATTCCAAAGGGTTCACATACTTTTTCTTGCAACTGTAGATATGTAGTGGGTTCCCATTAAAAGCTACAACAGCCTCCACTCTCTAGGACGGCTTTCCATAAGATGTAATTTGTGTCCATTTCTTTATAGATACTTGATTTTATACATCTGTGGCAATGTGTCTGATTAAAACACCTGAATTCAATCATATATATATATATAGTATATAAAAGTGTTAACATCATTTCCCATGTACCCCTTTTTTTTTTTTTTACAGTTTTCTCACCTGCAGAAACAAGGATTGTCAGAGTTCCTCCCTTGGTGAGTGCTAATCATAGTTACACTGCACATGTCTGGCTGGCACTGCATTGGTATAAGAGGACTTTGGGATTCAGAAATAAAATAAAATATCATGGTTGAAATTCTCGTGTTTGCGGTAAATCTCCAGGATGTGCTGTTAATGCAGTGAGCTTTGCCTAGGTCAATTCTCAGCCAAGTACAGCCCTGCACAGCATTATGGCCATAGAAAGGATTTTTGGGAATTGTAGTTCTGCTGTAAGTTTGTAGTGCAAAACACTGCTGAACTACAACTCTCAAAACTAAGGCATGATATGCAGAAAAAGAGAATATGGTGTGTTGGCAGGGGGAGAAAATGTGGACGTCATACGATTATGACAAGCCCAGTTATCTTACCTGGCTACAATAGCAACCCGCTCCTTCCGCCTGAGTCTCACTTTATCCAGACCATATTCCTCTGACTGCAGCTTGTCATCCGGCAAATCACAGCTGAAGATCCTAGAATACAGCACTTGACTTAACTTGGGACTTCCATTGGGCCCAGGGCCCAGAGTGTGAATGATAAATCCGTAGACCATGGTGTACTCTGGAAACACATTAATATTAGTAAACAATCCTTAGAATCATATCAACATTAAATCACATCACAGTCCTATGTTAGTTGTCGTGTACGCGGAAGTACGTATTAAACGAGAATAGAAAGCTTATCGTTGCTCTGAGGGGCAGCCATTTTACTGAGTTATGAAGAACCTGTATGAGATTACAAATACTGGCAATGTGTGCATGCACCGGGCAAAGTTTGAGACAATGTGCATGTTCTCACTATACTTACTAAAACAACTTTTGTTTAACAAAGCTGTTTTAGTGTATAGATCATGCCTATGAAGTTTCACTGCTCAATTCTCTGCCATTTAGGAGTTAAATCACCTTTGTTTCTGTGTACAGAGCCCTGGTCACATCTCCTCTGAGTGTGACTGACACAGCCTGCATGAAAACAAAATGGTTTCATTTTCAATCAGATGTAACTTACTTCAAGTTTGTATCTCCTGCTCTGGAAATTGAACTTTAATTTCAGTCAGGAGGTTCCTGCAGGGTCTTACAAGCTATTAGCAGAGCAGGAGGTGAGATTCTAAATTAAACAGAATTTGCATTAAAGGAAGTATAAACATTAGATAACTCTTTACAGGAAGTGTTTATGGAAGGCTGTGCAAGTCACATGCAGGGAGGTGTGACTAGGGCTGTATGAACAAAGGGATTTAACTCCTAAATGGCAGAGGATTGAACAGTGAGGCTGCAGGGGGCATGTTCTATACACCAAAACTGCTTCATTAAGCTAAAGTTATTTTGGTGATTATAGTGTCCCTTTAAGTGGCTATTACTCCCACAGAGGGCTAGATGAGCAGGAGATGCGGAGAGAAGATCTAAACATAAATAGTCATTAGAAAGTGACATGTAACAGGGTCAGATTACATGAAGCATTATATATCTCAGGGTTAGCTGTCTGCTTGGGCTCAGCACATTCTGATGATGACATTAAGGTTTCTAGCTGATCATTGGGCTCAGAGAACTGAATGGACACAATGTCACACAATCCAAACAACAAACAGTATTAGCAGTTACTCAGTAATTATTTATTATTTCATCAGTTTATAAATTACATCCATGGGTGTTATAGTCACCGAACTACAATTATAGTGAATGTCCAGAGCTGTGTCTGGCCAAGGGTTATAGGCATTGATGTGCTGTGCACGGGGTTAGAGCTGTATTGGTGAGCAGCAGCTGTGAGTGATGAGAGCTGTATTGGTGAGCAGCAGCTGTGAGTGATGAGAGCTGTATTGGTGAGCAGCAGCTGTGAGTGATGAGAGCTGTATTGGTGAGCAGCAGCTGTGAGTGATGAGAGTTGTATTGGTGAGTTATCAGAAGTACAGTGGTGGGGTATGTGGTAGTGAGCGGGAGCTGGGAGTTGCAGTAAAAAACAGCAGTCAGGATGGTGAGAGATGTAGTAATAACCAGTCAGGATGATGGGAGTTGCAGTCAGGATGGTGGGAGATGTAGTAATAACCAGTCAGGATGATGGGAGTTGCAGTCAGGATGGTGGGAGATGTAGTAATAACCAGTCAGGATGATGGGAGTTGCAGTCAGGATGGTGGGAGATGTAGTAATAACCAGTCAGGATGGTGGGAGTTGCAGTCAGGATGGTGGGAGATGTAGTAATAACCAGTCAGGATGGTGGGAGTTGCAGTCAGGATGGTGAGAGATGTAGTAATAACCAGTCAGAATGGTGGGAGTTGCAGTCAGGATGGTGAGAGATGTAGTAATAACCAGTCAGGATGGTGGGAGATGTAGTAATAACCAGTCAGGATGGTGGGAGTTGCAGTCAGGATGGTGAGAGATGTAGTAATAACCAGTCAGGATGATGGGAGTTGCAGTCAGGATGGTGGGAGATGTAGTAATAACCAGTCAGGATGGTGGGAGTTGCAGTCAGGATGGTGGGAGATGTAGTAATAACCAGTCAGGATGGTGGGAGTTGCAGTCAGGATGGTGGGAGATGTAGTAATAACCAGTCAGGATGGTGGGAGTTGCAGTCAGGATGGTGAGAGATGTAGTAATAACCAGTCAGGATGGTGGGAGTTGCAGTCAGGATGGTGAGAGATGTAGTAATAACCAGTCAGGATGGTGGGAGTTGCAGTCAGGATGGTGAGAGATCTAGTAATAACCAGTCAGGATGGTGGGAGATGTAGTAATAACCAGTCAGATTGGTGGGAGTTGCAGTCAGGATGGTGGGAGATGTAGTAATAACCAGTCAGGATGGTGGGAGTTGCAGTCAGGATGGTGAGAGATGTAGTAATAACCAGTCAGAATGGTGGGAGTTGCAGTCAGGATGGTGAGAGATGTAGTAATAACCAGTCAGGATGGTGGGAGTTGCAGTCAGGATGGTGGGAGATGTAGTAATAACCAGTCAGGTTGGTGGGAGTTGCAGTCAGGATGGTGGGAGATGTAGTAATAACCAGTCAGGATGGTGGGAGTTGCAGTCAGGATGGTGGGAGATGTAGTAATAACCAGTCAGATTGGTGGGAGTTGCAGTCAGGATGGTGGGAGATGTAGTAATAACCAGTCAGGATGGTGGGAGTTGCAGTCAGGATGGTGAGAGATGTAGTAATAACCAGTCAGGATGGTGGGAGTTGCAGTCAGGATGGTGGGAGATGTAGTAATAACCAGTCAGGATGGTGGGAGTTGCAGTCAGGATGGTGGGAGATGTAGTAATAACCAGTCAGGATGATGGGAGTTGCAGTGGAAGATCTCACTCACGCGCACGTTCTATTCTGACTGCGGCAGTTGCGATACAGACTGTGAGTCACATGACACGGTCAGCTGATACCTGGGACGCAACCGGAAGTGTGCGATGCGTTCCAAGCCTCGTAGTGATCCGCCAATAGAGCGTTCCAGTATCTCCATGGTAATAACTGACAGAATACCACCGCCCCCTGCTGGTTACTGATAATAAATCAGCTCCCCCCCCTGCTGGTTACTGATAATAAATCAGCTCCCCCCCTGCTGGTTACTGATAATAAATCAGCTCCCCCTGCTGGTTACCGATAATAAATCAGCGCCCCCTGCTGGTTACTGATAATAAATCAGCTCCCCCTGCTGGTTACTGATAATAAATCAGCTCCCCCTGCTGGTTACTGATAATAAATCAGCGCCCCCTGCTGGTTACTGATAATAAATCAGCTCCCCCTGCTGGTTACTGATAATAAATCAGCTCCCCCTGCTGGTTACTGATAATAAATCAGCTCCCCCTGCTGGTTACCGATAATAAATCAGCTCCCCCTGCTGGTTACTGATAATAAATCAGCGCCCCTTGCTGGTTACTGATAATAAATCAGCGCCCCTCGGGGTCTTCTTCCCATGAGCCTCTGTACCTCAGAGTCCCAGAGCGGGACTCTCAGACACAGAAAGCACAGAAAGCCTGTCAAACCTGCTATTGTCACCAAAGGATTTCCACACCAAGCCCAGGGTCCCTGTGTGAATCCAGGCAAGGGCAGTGTCTCCTATGTGGATACGAATGGTTCCCCTGGTCGGCGCCCGTTTATACGAATGGCGGCCACCCGTGGAAGCACTCATTAATTACTTCCCTTGCGGTTTCACACTTGTTGCGAAGTGTTATTGCGGTTTTGCACTTATGTTGCAACTTGGAGAACATTCTAATTGATTGGTGTGAACATTCCAATGGGCCCTGGGCGGTCCTTGCTTGGGAAACGAACTGGGAACATTTGGTACATGAACAAGGAGGGAAGCAGTTCACGGATGCTCCCCTTGGATGGTGGCCAGCGATACGAACGGGCAGCCACCAAGGGGAGACACACGCCAAGCAGGTCGAGGTGTAAACGTTCTAAATCAACATTCTCAATGAGATATTAGGGTGGTCCCCGTTCGGGAGACGAACAAGTTTCGTTCGTATGAGTTCCCCCAAACAGAGAGCAGGCAAAACACACAAATAGTCACAAATACATGGGGAAATACAGGCAATTACATAAAGACAAATCACAGACCGGTAGCAGTCCCACCACAGAGCTTATTCACCAGAACAACATAAAACCTCACTTGGTTACAGTTCAGATTACCAGTTTATGTATGGGATGCTTGTATGGATAGGTGGCTGGGTAGATATATTTATGGGTGGATGAATGGGAGGGTGGGGCGGTGGTTGTGTTGGTGGATACACCCCAATGAAGGGTGGCAAGCACAACTGTATGGGAGTTGAAGTTCTGCAGGAAGTCTACAACCAGAGTTTGGTGCCGGCACTCAGGATTGCTGCAGGAAGGCCTCAGGATTGCTTGATAAAGGCTTCTATGTTGGCCAAAACGTTGCAGTTTTTGTTTCAATAAATCTGCCTTCCTGCAGTGCCTGGACCTAAATTATTTTATCTACTAAACTGGTGTGGCGGACCTTACACTATCGCATTAGGTTCTGAAGTTTTCCGAACATACCCTCGTTTCGCAGCCTATGTCCGCTGTATAACACGTATTCATTTTATTTGACTGTTCGTACCCCTGTTCGTGGCCCGAATGGAAGATGTGTGGTCCCCCCTTTTATTCCCTTTTAACACCGACCATCCCTGGCTCGTTAACTTCAAAGGAGAAATTAGATTGAGTGCTTTTCCTGGTTCATATAACTGAACATATGTGCGCTAGTGAATGGTGGCCATTTTGTCTCCCGAACACAGGTTATAGGGGTACATGGCAATCGAACGTCTGGAACTCTTTGGCAGCTATGCAATCCCGCAAACTGCGGAGAAAATTGTACCGCTGTCCGTTCTTCTCCCAGACAAGTTAGGAGAATGCTGTTCGGGAGAAAGGAACTACAGAACAGGGGGAGCATTCGCTCCCTAAAGGTCAGCGGGAACATTCATTCCTGTGGAACTATTTTGGGCGTTCACCTCGTGGCTGGCCAATCAGAATGGTGATTCAGTTCTACGGAATGGAAGATAATGGAGTTAACCTTCTTTTGACTCAATTATCTCCCAGACAAAGAGACACCTGGGAAGGGTTTGTGCTAAGTTTAATGAAGACCCCATGCTGGGGGTCTGCGCATAAAAAGACAGTTGCGGCTCAATAAACCTTAGTTGACTCCCAGACTCCCTGTGTGTCATCCAGTTACTGGGGGAATGGGCTTTAATCACTAAGCAGCGCTTTGTTCCAGCTCAAGAGGACTTCAGTGGAGGTAGTTGGTCTCAGGATCGCAACTGGGATTTGCCAACCCTGGCCCTGATAAGCACCTGGATTCAATTACCACAACCTGAGTTAGATGGTCAACCTTTCCTGGACTGTATCCGATATGCCCACTAGATGGCGCCATAACCCACAGCATGTTCATGCTGGAGGCCTGGGATCAATACTCAGCACTTATAACATGCACAAACAGGAAGAGTGCTGGTTGGGGAAGGGTATATTTTAGCAGAAGTGTTTGTTTTTTTTGCCTGCCCTGATTACCAAAGGAAGGAAGTTGTTGATTCAACAGTTAGCGGTTTCTGTGGATTTCAAGCAAAGTCCTTTCATGGGGAGAATGGAGGTTGTAAATCATAGAACAATGACTTCCAATGACACAGACATGGCCACACTGTTGACCCTACGAGTACGTGTTATAGAGTACAGAAACCAGAGGGATGGCTTCACTCACAATTAAAAATGTCTGGGATTTATCATTTGTCAGTATAAAAAATAATAAAACTAAAGCACTCGGTGACATGAGGTGCAATGTGGGTTAATTCAGCCATCAAACAAAGTAGGCAATGTTTCGACACGCTGTGTCTTTTTCCAGCCATCGTCAATGAGTTAAAAATTCATTGTAAATTGTAGTTACTATGGAGGGTTATCAGTCTCTAAATGTGTTTGTCTATGATAATAACACGGCCGATCGCATTTTAGAACAAGTCGATACCTATACAGATTTCTTGTATACCCCGTCGGATGAAACACCGAGCAATGAATGGGAGAAGTAAAAGTTAATTGGCTGTAAATTCTGTTCTCTAACATTGGCTGCAGAGATCTGTGTGTCAATGACCTGTGTAGTTTTGTGCACCATTTGCAATAAGTTGTTATTTTTGCCTATTACATTCTGATCTCTTACTATCTAAGAGCCAGTGGCATTAATACCTCTTTTCTTACCGTTTGTAAGTTTAGATTGACCCATATACTCTCATGCCTGACCACTTGCCCAACCTACTTGATACCTGCTTAACTACTTTACCCTCGTGTTACCTAACTCTTACTATGTATATCCATACAAGTTAAAAACACGGTGCAAGATACTGAGAACGGACAACAACTCAAATAGCCTGCCCTTCGGTGGGTCCCACTCAAATCTCAAGCTGGTTTTAGCTCATCTTGTGCCATTACAAAAAGAACCCTTTGCATATCAGACTGATTCCACCCAAAAAGCCATCGAACTTTTAAAAAATAAAATAAAAAACCAGAGCAAAAAAAAAAGAAAAAAGAAATCAGACAAAAAAGAGAAAACCCGACGCTAAAAAAATAATCCATCTTCACCCGGCAAGGGCCTGGTGCAGACTGAGCTCTGCAGGGAGGGGAAAGGCTTATAAAGCCTTCCCACACCCTGCAATTAGGCTCAGAGCGCTCTGATCAACCATAGTTTAATCAACCATAGTGCTCTGACAGGTAGGTCTCTACATTTACCTGTCACCGCACTCTGATTGGTTGGCTTGGAATTCAACCAGAGTGCTCTGTGTCATTTTACACAGCGTGGGAAATTTCCAAAGAACTTTCCCACGCTGTGTAAAATGACTAGCACTCCGATTGGTTGAATTCCAAGCTAACCAATCAGAGTGCTCTGAGTCAAATTGCAAGGCGTGGGAAGGCTTTCTAAGCCTTCCCCCACCATGTGGAGCTCAGTCTGCGCCATGCCCTCGCCGAGTGAAGATGGATTAATTTTTTAGTGTCTGTTTTTTTCTTTTTTGTCTGAACATTTATTTTTTTGTTCATTTTTTGGGGGGAGTGGGAGGGATGACTAGGGGCTTGGGGACCCCTTGTCACCTTGGGGGGGGGATTAACATTTTCATTTAGGGCCCCCACCTGCTGCTCAGGGGTGGAGGCCGGGGGGAGGACAATGGGTCCCCTCCATTATTGTTATTTATGGTCCCCACCCGCCGCTCAGGGGTGGGGGCCGGGGAGAGGACAATAGGTTCCCCCCCATTGTTTTTAAGGCCCCCACTCGCCGCTCAGGGGTGGGGACCGGGGGGGCGCTAGATCCCCCCTTCAGTTTAATAGCCCCCACTCGCACGGCACGGATGGGGGCTCTGGAGAGGGGGATACTAGGAGGCTTTATTTTAACAGTGAGCAGCCATAGGCTTTATTTTAACAGTGAGTAGGGGCATTCGGGAGATTTCAATCTCCCTTATGCTATTATGGGGGTCATATGGACCCCCATAGAGTGAGGGAGGACATGGGGGGCTTAGGAAGTGGCGGGGAGCACTGCTCCCTACTGCTTCCATTTTTACATTTTACAAGGAGGGAGCTGCGCTGGTAGCTCCCTCCTTGTAATAAACTGAACGAACAAACGAACACTGATAGTCAGGTGTTTGTTTGTTTGTCTGACATTTCTATTCATTCATTCGTCTATCTGACGAATGAATGGATGAAATTCCCGTTCGCATGCCCAAGTGTTTAACTGGGCATGCGCAGGAATTTCACAGCGCTCTCTAGTGTGGGCAGATGACATGTCCAACAAGGACTTCATCTACCTACACAAAGATGGCGGTCAGGGCAGAAAATAAAGTTTAAAAACTAGGTAATATGGGGGGCTTAGGGGCATTTGGAGGTGACTAGGGGGTCAATTAGATGTAGTGGAGTCAGGAGGGGGGTTAAAAAACCAGGATTCGGCCATGACAGTGCCACTTTAAGAGAAAACAGTT